TGTGTGTGTGTCTCTGTGTCTGTGTGTGTCTGTGTGTGTCTCTGTGTCTGTGTGTGTGTGTCTGTGTGTGTGTCTCTGTCTCTATGTGTGTGTGTCTCTGTGTCTGTGTGTGTCTATGTGTGTCTGTGTGTGTGTGTCTCTGTGTCTGTGTGTGTGTCTGTGTGTCTCTGTGTCTGTGTGTGGGTGTCTGTGTGTCGGTGTGTGTGTGTTTCTGTGTGTGCGTATCTGTGTGTGTATGTCTATGTGTCTCTGTGTCTGTGTGTGTGTCTCTGTGTCTGTGTGTGTGTCTCTGTGTCTGTGTGTGTCCCTGTGTCTGTGTCTGTGTGTCTGTGTCTCTGTGTCTGTGTGTGGGTGTCTGTGTGGGTGTCTGTGTGTGGGTGTGTGTGTGTATGTGTGTCTGTGTGTGTGGGTCTCTGTGTCCGTGTCTATGTGTCTCTGTGTCTGTCTGTGTCTGTGTCTCTGTGTCTGTGTGTGTGTGTCTGTGTGTGTGTGTCAGTGTGTGTGTGTCTGTGTCTGTGTCTCTGTGTCTGTGTGTGGGGGGGGGTGTGTGTGTGTGTGTCTGTATGTCTCTGTGTGTGTGTATCTGTGTGTGTGTGTCTCTGTGTCTGTCTGTGTGTCTGTGTGTCTCTGTGTCTGCATCTGTGTATCTCTGTGTCTGTGTGTGGGTGTCTGTGTATGTGTGTCTGTGTTCATGTCCATGTCTGTGTCTTGCTGCTTGTGTATCTCAATAAGCTTCTCTCTCACATCTCTTTGTTTTCCTCCCTTCCCTGTCCTGTTGCCATGGAGAAGCCCAGAAGAGCAGGTTCCTAGAAAATCAGTTCCATAGGGTGAACCACAAGATGTCAAATGATAGAGTGTGTCTACCCCAACACATACAGACAGACGTAGGCCCCCATCTGCGCCATCCTTTCTATCTCCTCTTCCCCATTCATGTGGAGTATTTTTGTCCTTTTAGGGCTGTCAGAGCCCCAGATGTCAGAGGGCTGCAGTCTCCCCCTTAGTCCCACAGCATTTTCTTGGCTGCTGCCCTAGCTGCCCCCATCCCTTATTCCACTCCCCAGCCCTAGCTCCCTGCCTGCTGAACATCCCAGATCTTCAGCAGATGACACATTCCCTGCCAGCAGTTCCAAACACAGGAATCTCCTTGGCTGAGACCACCTGAAATGGGGTGACTGCTCCTGGCCAGGCCCCCTCCCCACGATGGTCTCACCAGGCCCTCTCCAGGACACTGGGCCACAGTGGTGTGCTCTCCATGCCCACCTGCTGGCAAGCATAGGGCAAGGCACACAGGTGTGTTCCTCCCCTTTGAGAGCTTGTCGTCACATCAGAGACAGTCAGGGCCAGGGCATGGCTCCCCTGGTCTCCACTGAGCTCTGTCTCTGCCCTCCCTCATCTGGAATCACATCCCCATCTACTCTTTCCCAGACCAGGAATACAACAGGATCTGCTCAAATTGTGGCCACATCTTCCTCATCTCCTACATCTGGGACCCGTATGCCTTTGTCCTCTTTTGGTTCTTAGCCCCTGCTATGACAAGGCTGCTGGCTGGCGTTCCCTTTGAGATGAGCAAACAGTGGTGCAGCTCCCAGCTAGCCTTCTGGCCCCCAGGGCCCAGCTGCCTTGCCTGCGCGTGCCCTGCAGAAAGGGCTCATGGGATCAAATCCGAGGGGCGAACGCCCCAGCCTCAGCCTCCTTCCCACCTCTGGGTAACCAACCGAATCGGTTTATAGGCTGTGGAGCCCACGCTAGGCCCCACTGCACTCGCCTATGCATTCAGCTGTTTCCTTCTGCACGGCTCTACAATGAGGAGATCCTTGACCTGTTTGACAGCACCCGTGACCCTGACGCCCGCCCCCGCAGGTCCAACATCAAGATCCTGAGGACGCAAACCGGTGCATCTACACCCACCCGGCGTCACTTCTCGCCTCATCCACTCCCAGGAGGAAGGTGAGCATCTGCTGGAGGTTGGAGCAGGCCCAGGGGCATCCCTGAAAGGGCAGGGGCTGGCACCCACAGTAATCCCAAAAGCCCATCCACTTCTGCTTCTGTTTCCAGCTGATCCAGTCCCTGAAGCAGGGGGCCCTGTCCCGCACCACACGCCGCACCGGATGAACGTGCAGAGCGCACGCTCCCATCGCCATCTTTACCATCCCACCTGTGCCAAGATGCGCATGTGCACCCACGCCGACCTGGGTGAGGAGCCTGCAGGGGCCCAGGAGCCAGCTGTGCTACAGGGTATCCCAGGAAGGGCAAGATGAGGGGCCACAGATTCAGAGACAGCAAACCAGATTGAGGCCTGGCCTCTGCCATTTGTTGACTTTTATATTTTTCTTGAGCCTGCCCAGTTGGCCC